CCAGAGGCTGGCCAGATCCCTTTACCCGTTTCATGTCATGTGATCGAAGGGCCGTGACCCCATCCGCCCACCTCTTGCCGATGTGACTATCCAGGAGCATTGCAATGCAGCAGTCACACATGTGCGATCAAAGGCCGCTGCAATTCGGAAAACCACTTCCGAATACCTGAAAGGCGAGTTGCTTAGGGGCGAGCGGCTTACAAATGGCGACCCGAAGTGGTAAGCTCACCGTCTTGTTATGTTTTCCAATCCATAGGTAGCAGATAGTTGGTTTCTTGCGTCGCATCAGATGTCGGCCTTGTGGTGCGTGCCTCTCCCACACCAGATTCTGTTTCATGTGGTTGACCAGGCTCAAGCGTTGAACCCATGTGAGTCGCATTGTGCACAACAAAAGGCCGTTTGTACAGAAAAAACTCACCATGTGCACCCTTTCAACTTGCGCCGGATCTCAGTAATTTGTTGATTGTTCATGCGAATCGTGTTTGGCTCTTGTTCTAACCGGTTGAAAAAAACAAATCCGAGGTATGGAGCGTAGACTCTGCCGGCGTATCTAAGATGTGTTCTGTGCTTTGACATGAGCTTTGCCAATTCAGGGTGAATGAAGTGGTTCCGCCTCAATCATGCACAAAGTTTTGTGTGCGCAAACTATCGCGGGACCTAGCGTTCGGAGTAGGATTCCTCGCCGGTAACCTGCTTATCTTTGTCCATGTTGATAATTTACTCAAGTAATCCCGTGATCCCACGCACAGACCATGGAAACATTCTCCATTGATTTTCATGAAGCACATGTTACAACGCTGCTGAGTGCTGCCACGAGTGCATTGCCTCGTATGCGTGTAACTGTGAGGAAACACGCACCGCACGACTGGTTTACCGCCACTACTTGACGCTCTATAATGTCTCTGTCAACCGTCTCTACTCATGTATCGCATGCAAACATGTGGCCGTCTCTTTCTTTCCTTGCCTTGTGGTCGGCGATCCCACTACCTTGCAGGCCATCGATTTTAAGCAGCTTTGACGTGGCGGCAAATCAGGTGGTGGAGCTTGCCGAAGAGGTCGATCCGGTGCTCAACTTTTTTGCCTACCAGCCTTTGCGAGCAACGGCCAAGCCTGGCGACAGTGAGTACTTCAGATTTGTCAAGAACCTGTATGAAACTGCGTCAGAACCTCGCCCCATTGCCGTGCAGACCTGGATACTAACAGAGGTATGCGACTGTGGTCTGAGGCACGGGATAACTTTTCTTGAAACCGCGCGAGCGAATGGCAATAGCCCAGGACCGCTTTTGTGTTGCAATATGTTCCCGAACTCAACGCAGTCATTGGGGGGTTGCAACCTCTTGTGATTTTTGGCCGACACAGTCTTGGAGATGCTTTGAAATATGCCTGTCCCGTGAATTATCCCTCCTAAATTGCCGGGAAAGCGGTGAATTGTTGAAATATTCGGGGGGTATGTTGCCAAACATACAACTCAACCCTGCGTCTTTGTCCCCGGGGGAGATGTTTCCTGGCGGAAAAAATGTCTGGGCCGAACGTACGAAACCTACGGCATTGCCTTAAGGTAGTTGAGAATTGATGTTGCGGTTGCTTGCCTGGTTGTTTCGGCCAACATTAGTAGCATGGGAGCACAAAGTTCGCTCTCAAACCACGCGGTTTGCGTGCACTTACGGTATGGTCCTCGTACGCGTCTTTATGTTACCATGCGGTTTCTGAAACTGGCTTTCATTCTGCGCACTTGATTCTCTTGCCCATGTCCGACAGTCCCTATGTTCCTTAGCACCAAACTCATGCCGAGAAGTGACAGCGCCAAGAGGGATGAAAGATCCGAGGGTTCCGTCGGAAGCAGGAGCCACATTGAGGCCGTGGAGCAGTTTAATGACTCGGTGGATGATATCAGCAATTTCTTCAACGACTCCGTGGGTGCCGATGACGTTCTGTCCAAGTTGGTGTCCTTGTCTGGAAGCACGCGGTGACGATATTTTTTTTGTCGTCGGTGAAACGATGGCGACAAGACACAGCACGGGAGCATTTTCATTGTTCCGCGAGTGAGCATGCACAAGAGCGGCCTGGCAGCAATGGCTTTCCAATCCTGTCGCTGTTTGAAGACCTCGCCGGAAAAGTTGTCCCTCAGCAACGTAGGAGGTGCCGTGACATTCGCAGTGAATCTCATCTGAGTTACCAGGTGATCCGTGGTGTTCGGAAATAACCTTCACTTTCGAATGGTACGATTGGGATACCTAGTTCACAAAGAGTCCATCGGCGTGAGCCACTTGTCGACTTGTTGCCTGATCTGACGCCGCTCTTCGGCCAAGAGGTTGTATTCCCGTTCATCGTCCAGAGCAGCTTTCCATTCCCGGAAGAACCTTAATTTTCTGGCACGGTGTCCTATGGTGCTTGCATTCTGCTCAACGATGGCACGGTGAGATGCTCGACTCGTCCAAGCGTCGACCCACTTGCCATAGTGCTTGGACCATGCGGAATGATGTGCTATCATGCGGACCCTGGAGCTGCACTGCTTTAGGCAGTTGTCGTGGTAGCTCCAGTACGTCCAGGCATTTTTCGTGAGGAAATAGGTCTCCAGTTTCTTCACGAGTCTTTCGATCTGTTAACGAGGGAAAGAGATGTACGTGTAGAAGGGGCGTTGACAGAGCGAAGAACGTTTTCTGCAGCAATCTGCCGCCGAGTAGCGCCTGTATCGGCGTATGCAGCTGGTGTATTGTGGTAGTGGCAGTGTCTATGGATCAGTCGTGCGGAGGCGGGGTGCTGCAGGCCAGCGCGGCGAGCGATATAGTGTTTCTAGAATACTGGGTGGATTTTCTTTGGCACACTCGGTACATGGTTCTTGCAAAGGCTTTGTAAAGAGTGCACGTACAACATATCTCTTCCGTGCTTCACGAACGAGACTTGGGAGAGCATCAGCAAGTGTCGCTTCTTTATTCTAGGAGGTTGTTCAACTACTGTGGTGTCAAATAACACCGGAGTATCCTGCTTTGATGTATTCGTTTCATATGGTATTATGTTTCAAATGAAGCTGAGCACAACCGGCCCTGTTCTCATGCCGTCTGAAGTGGAAAAGCGAGGTTAATGTAGCAAACGTGACGCAAGATTTTAGATCTTCGACAGCAGCGATGATGCTCAGTGTGGGCACGGGGGCGCGTCAAACCGTAACAGACGTAGCATACCCTGGAACAAATGTTACCAGACGTGAGAGGGACACGTGGATGCGTTCCGACAGATCTCACAACGCATGCTTAGCACAGTGTGCCCGAAGCGAGCGCGGCAGGAACTCCATATTCGTTAGTACCTGTTCTTTCTTGGACTTGGTCCTTTCCGCCCTCAAATTGGCTGTATGATTCATCCACTGGGTCCACATGCGGTGCATAGCACAGTAGGCGTAATGACGGTGGGCTTTAATCGTCTGGAGCTGAACGATTTCGAGTATCTTCGCCCACGGCTTCCAGCCTGTGTAGCGCATAATTGCTCTAACGTTCTGCCGGTCGGCAATAGCCATCTTGTTCTGAGCAACCTTCTTCGCTCTGACCCGAGACTCTAATAGCTTCCGTCGAGCATTCTCCCTGTCTTTCGCGACTTGCAGAGTCTTGGCAATTGCTGCCACCTCGCGATCCTCCCTGATGCGGGCTTCTTGTTGTTTTTCTTCCCGTCTTCTTGTCAAAAGCAGCCGCCGCCTTTCCTCTCGAGTACACAACCCGGCAACCGCTGCTGGTAGTGACATATATTCATGGTCCTTGGGTCGACTCTGTTTCAAAGGCATTGTGTTGCGGGAAAAAAAAAATGAATTCCTGGTAGTTTTCTTAGTCCATTTGTCGGACGTCGGAAAGGATGCTGGCCTGCTAAACGACGGTTCTCCGGTCGTGAAGGCCGTGCTGTCGAAAGGATTTGCTCTTGAGTGGGATGATTGGACTTCTCGCCCCAAAACTGAAGGTGTGTGCAGCGCAGAGGGATGGCTACTTCTTCATGTGACGACCGATCTACGTACTTGCCAACCGGAAGTGGGGTGAGAGGGTAAATAGTCTATTGTACGGCGGGTAAAAACTACAGAGAAAGTTATGCTGTCGTCCCAAAGTATAATCTGACTGTTGTGGGTTGTAACGTGGTTGATGGCGCCTCCCAAGAGAACAACTACGAGAATTTCCCTACTTAGATTGATAGACTACAGCAGTATAGATGTGCATCTCTCTGCTGTTTGCAGTATGCACGTGAAGTTGCTGATGATCCAGGATACGAAGTCGCCAGCTGTCGTCGCACAAGGTTCAAGCTCACACACAGCCATCTCGACCAGACGTGGTGTCCATCTGCTGATTGCATATATATTGCTCCGACTCGAAAGTTTGGAGTATGTTCACATTTCTGCAGTAGGGATGGTACACGCGTATGTACATATAATATGCATACAGCAGTGCCTACTAAAGAGATTGACGATTACCGTATATGACACAAGATAACACACCCCCTTGACCGTTTTTCAAAGCTCGATTTCTCAACAGCGGGAAGACTCACAGCGCCGAAAACGGCGGCGTTGGAACCGTCTCGTTGAGATCTTTTCGAAAATGTATCATTTCGTTTATGTATCCTCTTCATCATCGAATAATCAAGCTTTGAAAATCGGGCCAGGGGGTGTGTTATCTTGTGTCATATACGGTATAACATGCAGCACTGCTACAGTTGTATGACTCACTTTCCCCAGCATTGCCCTCCGAAGGTTTTGTATCTGCGATTTCCGGGACTGATGCTCTCTCTGCATCGGTAAATCTGTATGGCGCGCGTCTGGGTGCATCATGATACGCAAGGTGTGGTGTTTGCGTGCGACGTTGCTGAGGATCTTTGCATTATTTTTCCTAAAAGGATATTTGGATCTTTCGCATATTGGATTCGAGAGGCTCCGTGGTATACAAAACCGAGGCGTGGGAGACATGGTAGAACCAGCTACCTGTTGATGTGATGCCGCCCAGCAAAGCAGTCGTGTGCTGGGCGGGTTCCACTATTGCGTTGAGGTCCGTCACCGGGAGTGAGTGGGGGAGAGAGAGAGAGCGAGCGAGACGGAGCTGAACCCCCTTCTCATCTGCTCTCATCTGGTGTGTGTCAGCGTAGCAAGGGCTGGGTATCGCGGGTTTGTGTTGCGAGCGTGTGTGACCATGTCGTTGGCGAAAAAGGGCAGAAAGGCGGTTCGTGCTTTCACGAGGCTGATGCGCCGTATCGTGAAATGGCTGCTCCGCAAGCTCACGGCGCAGTCAGAGATCGGCAGAATACTGCGGAGCGATGGGTACTCTAGTGAGCTCGTGCAGGCAATTGCACAATCGATTGCAAGGAGCTCGAGCTCCGAAATGGAACGGGTGAAGAGAGCCGTGTTTGGGAAGGCCCCTTTCGATGTCACGTCAACTTGTGACGAACTCATGGCGGCGAAGGCGATCGGGGATGAGCACAAGCCTCGGTTGACATGGTGTCTGCAGGTGAGGTCCTCACCCTAACGACGACGCATATTTCACGCATCGGCTGTCGGGTGAGCCTTTGCCTAGACTTGCATCGACGCTCTTTTAGATTGTGAAAGTCGGCAGGTGGGGGTAATTGTATCTAAATGTCGTACAACCCAGGGATGTGCTCTTGTCTCCGCTGCCGCCACCGCCTCGTTGTCACTGGTTCTTGTTGGTGCGCAGACTTCTTCGTACTCGCACTCGCAAGGGTTACGTGATTCAGTCTTGTTGGCTGGCGAATAAGCGCCCAATAAGGTGGTTACGTGATACCAGGATGGCCCACTACCTCCCTGGCCATGACAGCCAGCTAGCAACTTTCGGTCCACTTTCGACCACCAGGCGAATCTGGCGTTGTCTTGTGTTGCTTGCCCGGGCTGGAAATTGATTACTTGCTTTTTCTTGGATGTGTACAACAGAGAGATAGAATAAGAATACAGCCCATTGCCTCGGACCTCGGATCTATCCATATCGCCGCCTTGTCTTGCTTTCCTCACGCACCCCTCCCTCTCTTCACGCCGCACCACGTGCTCTGGCGGGTGAAGGGTGCGCTATGATAAATTGATGCAAACATGAACCCAGTCTAAATACTTCTGTCGTTGTCCGTCCTCCACAATAATGTCAGGTCCTCAACATCGTCAACATAATCCATGAGAAGGTTGAAAGTCTCCAACACACCAACTACGACCCGGACGAACCGACGCACGTTGCTCTCCTCGAGACACTATGGACTTCCCTTCAACCTGATGCGCGTCGCACGAATGGTTGGGCCCCCCTAGGATTCCAAAATGGAGACAAACCTGAAACGGATTTTCGCGGAATGGGTTTGCTAGGTGAGACCGCGGGGTTGTGAGAGATATTAACTTCAACTACGTCAGCAAGCGAGTCACAGAGGCTGCCGGCTGCACCGGTGAACCAAGTAGTGCCGGGGCCCAAAATAAAAATGTCGGTTCGTGGTGTATCTGATTCACGTGGCGACATGAGGTGTCGAACCACCGCTACTGACGGAAACTGTGTGCAGCTCCTGTTGCCCGGACGAGTGTCATTGTACTTCTGGTTTGCAGGCAAGAGATCAGGCTGGTATCCAGCGGAGTGACGTCGCTGGTGTTTATGTGTGCGTGTTCGTCCCATCTCTTCTGCTGTCTGACGCCAGTCTACACATTCCGGTGCATAGCGGTGTGATGTATTGCGTCTATGTTTGACGTTTCAACCAGCGCCCCACACGAGGAAGGTCACACAAGAGTTTTTTTTTTTTTGCCCCAAATCTCCTGCGGTGCTTGCCTTGCCTTAGTACTTGTATTTGTTGCGAGAACGAGTCAGCCGTCCGCTTCCCTCGTCGACCGTGCAGTCAACGTGTGCTAACTCACGAACTACAATAGGCGCACTTTTCGAATACTCGCTTTTGCACGGCAAATTGAAAAATATTCTGAAACTCGCCACCTTCTATTTACTAGGTTTACGACGTCATCCACTATTTATATTAGAATAGACCATCGGGGCCACCGTACGGAATCCTGAAGTTTGAATCTATCAAGTTCAGTCAAACGAAATGTACGCACCACTGCTGTAAGCGAGAGACGACAGACGAGAGACGCACTGAGGGCCCGACGGCGTCACTCTCTTGACAACGTCTGTGCTCCGTTCTTCAACTACAGTCGAGGTCCCTCTATAGTGCGGGTTATATAGTGCGGGTGCCCGGTATAATGCGGGTGAAATCGCTTGGCACAACTTAGACCCCTCTATAGTGCGGGTGCCGCACTATAAGAGGAACCCCGGTATAGTGCGGGTTTGGTCGATCTCAGAAACCTCTATAGTGCGGGTCTGACGTCATGACGGCCTAAATGCGCGGTCAAACCCGTCGACAAGTTCCGCACAACGTACACAAACCTACCCCTAGCGGGATACTGTATACTGTACCCCTACTGGCCACGAGAACAGCAGCAGCAGAGGCGCACGATGCCATGTGCAGCAGGCGAACTCTGCCATCTCAGCACCCTCACACCTAAAGCCCCCGATGGTCACCAATGCCGAGGAGGATGCGGAGGCAGACTGCACGGCATATGCGGCGAGGTGGAGGAAGAGGAGGAGGATGACGAGGGCGGAAACATCGGAGGCGGGCGTGCGGAGCCACCGCCTTACACGGAACTTTCCCAACACTTCGCGTCCCTAGAAAACTACGCGGCAGGGTGTGGTTTGGACGAGGCCAGCTTCTTGCTCAAGAGGGCGCGGATGTTGATGATCGAAGCGCATGCATCTAAGCCATCTCGTCAGACTGACGTCCGGGCGTATTTTGACGCGTAGATCAATGAGAGATATTTTGCTGCACGTATGTGTTGCATGAATTACTGTGTGTCGGGATTATTGCGCCTGTGCGAGTATGCGCCTGTTCTCTCATTGATCAACGTCTTCTCCCCTGTCTTTTCTCCGCGGGTGTCGGCTTTTGTTGTGTTCCTTTATGCACGTGGACTCACTTGTTCGCTTTGGAATGTTTGTTGGATAATCTCCTGTGGCTTTCATCATACGGTGGTTCCTTGTGATTGTTTTTCAACGTCCACGGAGCCGTCGATGCACTATAAAACAATGGGACACCGAACATTAACATTTACAACATGTCGTGGACCAAATATCCTCTCGGCTGTACAGGATTTTGTTTACACCGCTGCTTCACTGCTGAATTTGCACCACGACCCACGTGTTCTCCTAATACCATTGAGCAAACTCGGGTTTCTTTTCCTGAGGCGGCACTGATACCTATTCAGCCCCTTGTTGGTTGTATGTACTACAGTGGCACCTTCATAACCGTCGTTATGGCCTATGTCCTACCCTTTATCCTAGTAAT